CTTATTTGCCATCTGTGTATCCTCTTTGGTGAGGTGTCTCTTCAGGTCTTCGTTTTTTAATTGGGTTGTTCATTTTCTTATTGTGGAGTTTTAAGAGTTCTTTGTATATCTGGATAACAATCTTTTATCAGATAACTTTTCAAATATTTCCTCCCAGTCTGTGGCTTGTCTTCTCATTCTCGTGATGGTCTTTGCCTTTTATTCTTGGTGAGATGGGAGCCATTGGAGAGTTTTGAGCAAAAGAGGGACATGATGGAACTGAACATTTTAACTCCTATTAAATATCCAAATGGTGGTATTTGAGAGGCACTTTTCTGGAGCTCCAGGTCCAGACAGGAGATAAACATTTGGAAATCATTAGCATGTAGATTTTTAAAAAATTAAAGTGAAGGACTTCCCTGGTGGTCCAGTGGGTAAGACTCCACGCTCCCAATGCAGGGGGCCCAGATTCGATCCTCAGTGGAACCAGATCCCGCATGCATGCCGCAACTAAGAAGCCCACATGCCACAACTAAGAAGCCCGCATGCCGCAACTAAAAAAAGATCCCACATGCCGCAAATAAGTCTGCAGGCTGCAACTAAAGAAAGATCCCGCATGCCGCAACTAAGACCTGGCACAGCCAAAATAAATAATAAATTTTAAAAATAATTAATGTGAGATTCATATAAAATTAAACACTTAAAGATGAATGATTTAGTCATATTTAGTACATTCACAACAGTGTGTAAGCATCATCTCTAGTTCCAAAATATTTTCATCATCTGCCAAATAAAACCCTGTACCCATTAAGCAGTTACTCTCCTCTTACCCCCCGCCCCTAGCAATCTGCTGTCTCTATGGATTTGCCTATTTCAGACATTTGAAATATATAGACTCATACAATATGCCACTTTTTGTGTCTGACTTCATTTGCTTAGCACGTTTTCAAGGTTCATCCAGACTGTAGCACATAATAGGACTTCGCTTCATTTCATGGCTAAATATTCATTGAATGTATACAGCACAGTTTGTTTATCCATTCATCTGTTCATGGATATTTGGACTGTTCCAACCTTTTGGGTATTATGAATAGTGCAGTAGTAATGAACATTTATTTACAAATATTTGTTCAAGTGCCTGCTTTCAATGCTTTTGGGTAGATACCTAGGATGTAGATTATTATTATTATTATTATTTTTTTGCCTCACCATGCGGCTTGCGGGATCTTAGCTCTCTGACCAGAGATTGAACCCGGGCCAGGGCAGTGGAAGCATGGAGTCCTAACCATTGGACTGCCAGGGAATCCCCTGGAAAAATTTGTAAAGTCACAAGACTGGAAGCCAAGGGGGTGAATGTAGATAGGGGATGAAGATCTGAGTCCTATGGCAGGTCATTCTTAAAAGATCAGTGTGAGGAGGAGGAAGACACAAGGAGCTGATGATGGGGTGGCAAGAAACCTAGCAGTGTGTGGTGCCCTGGAAACCAAGTGAGGAGACTGTTCTAAGGAGGGAAAGTGTCAACTGGGACCACCAGCCCTACGAAGGTGAAGCTGAGAACTGACTCCGCCTTCAGCAACAGGTAGGTTCCTGTGACCTGGACAGGAGTCATTTCACTGAACTAGGAAAGGCCTGAAAAGAGCAAGTTTAATGGACATTAGAGAAGACCTAAATAAACAGAGAGATACTTCATGTTCATGGATTGGAAGATGGTGATTCTCCACAAACTGTTCTACAGATTTAGTGCAATCCCAATCAAACCATGACTGTGATAAGTCACTGTTTTTGGTAGAAATTGACAAGTTGATTCTAAAATTTACAAGGAAATGCAAAGGATCTACAGTAACGAAAACAATTTTAAAAAAGAACAAAGTTGGAGTACTACTTGATTTCAAGACTTACTATAAAGCTACAGTAATCAAAACAGTGGTCTTAGCTTAAGGGGAGGCATATTGATTAACGAACAGAACAGAGAGTTCGGAAATAGACTCACACTTTCTGCCTCAAATAGTCAACTGATTTTTGACAAAAGCACCAAAGCAATTCAAAGGGGGAAGCAAACAGCATGGAACAACTGCATATACCTATGGAAAACAATGAACTTCAATCTTACCTCATACTACATACAAAAATTAACTCAAAATGTATCACTAACAGAAGTATAGTGCTAAAGGCATCAGTTTTGCTTAAACTGGGATCTCACTGTACAGCCATAAGCCACTGGTCTATAGGATTATTCCTAAAAGATATCTTGTCCTTAAAACAGGACTCTTTTTTTTGGCCTTGCTCTTGTGGGATCTTAGTTCCCCGACCAGGGGTTGAATCTAGTCCACTGCAATGAAAAGTGCTGAGTCCTAACCACTGGACAGCCAGGGAATTCCCCCCAAACAAGACTTCTGATCCTTCCTTGCCAGTGTCCATGTCCCCAGTGTCCCAGCTGCAGAGGAAGCTGGAATTCACACAGGGCCCTCCTTCTTCACCTCAGTCCCACTTCCATGTTTATCCATTCTAACTCCAATTTCATCTACCTCTAGATGTGAAGACAGCCTCTTTACCCTGGGCCACTGCAATGGCCTGAAGGGGGCTCCCCACTTCCTCTCCTTGCTCCTTGCCCCGCCAGCCCAGTCTCCACCCTGCAGCCAGAGCAGCATGGGATTCTCCTGATTAAAGCCCTCCAACTGCCTCACACTGTGCTCCAGAAAAACCTCGAGATCCTTGCTACTGCACTGCTTTGCCCAGCTACTGCCGACGTCCCCCTCACAGCCACAGGAGCTGTTCCCATGCTCTTTTCCCTCTTCAGGGTCTTGGCATACAGAGAGGTCGAGCTGATGCCTCAATCCCAGAAAGGCCTCATGTTATGATCTCATCACACCCTGGGCTTTTCTTAGACTCTCCTATCATGTATTAGTGTGATCAATGTGGGAGACAGTCAGCTGAACTCAAGGACTGTCTGCTCCAAGGGCCGGAACCCTGCCTGCAGGCCTATGACCAGCTCAGTGTCTAGCATGTTGAGGGAGCTTAAGAAATATTACTTGAGTGTATGAGAGAGACCAAAGTCCAGACTCCATTTGCCCATTTCCTGTCCACTAGCCAACATGACAAGCTAAGGTTCTGAGAACTCCCAGGTGGCCTGCTTTCAAGGATTCCTCATAACCAACCTGTGGAGGTGAGTGCTATTATTGTCTGCATTTTACAGGTGAAGAAAAGGAAGTGTGGATGAGTCCAGTAAACTTGCCTGGCATCCCCCAGCTACTAACAATGGAGTCGGGTTTTCAATTCAGGTCTTTTTGGCTTCAGCCCAAGATCTCACTTGCTGCTCTATGCTGCAAGGGACTCACCTTGGGCTTGGAAATCCCCAAAGAGCTTATGATACACACTCAATAGAATCTCTATTATTCTTTCAATCAAAAAAAATTTTTTTAAGTATCTAGCAGATATGTGGCAGAGGTGGGCAACACACTAGATGCTAGGTATTCACTGGGGACTAAAATTTACAACATCGTGTCATTTGAGTGAGACAGACAATAAAGGGGGTACGCAAGAATTGTTTAAAAAAAAAAGGAAAAAGAGGCAGTGATCGGGCTTCCCTGGTGGCGCAGTGGTTGAGAGTCCGCCTGCCGATGCAGGGGACACAGGGTCGTACCCCAGTCCGGGAAGATCCTACATGCCGAGGAGCGGCTGGGCCTGTGAGCCATGGCCGCTAAGCCTGCTCGTCCGGAGCCTGTGCTCCGCCACGGGAGAGGCCACAATCCGCCACGGGAGAGGCCACAACAGTGAGAGGCCTGCGTAGCGCAAAAAAAAAAAAAAACAAAAAACTGCTGTATAAAAAAATAAATTAAAATTTAAGTTTAAAAAATAAATAAATAAATGAACTGTGGGGTGGGGGAAGACAGCACAGAAAAAAAAAAAAAAAAAAAAAAAAAAGAGGCAGTAATCAAAAAGGAGGCAAGGCTAGTGGAGGTGATGAGTCAGCTGACACCTGAAAAATGAGGAAGAGCTGGCCTGAGAGAAGCAGGGGTAGGGACAGTCATAGGCTTTGGGACTTGACCTTGGGGAGCGTCTGTCCAGTTGCGGAGCTAAACGCGACATACACAGACTCGGAGATACTTTGAAAACATAAAGAGACCAAGCCGCCTACAGGCTCTGGATCTTCACACTCGGAACAAGGCTCTCTCCGTCACTGCTTTTATGTCTTGACTCAAATGTCTTCGCGGCGAGGCCTTCCTAAGCTGCCCCATTTAAAACTCCCACGACCCTTCCTGTCTCCATATCAACAAAGTGTATGTTACTTAATTCTCTTGCCCCGCGCCTGCCTCTCCCACTAGACCGTGAGCGCCACAGCCGGTGAGATTTTTGTTCGGTTCCGTAGCACCTGAGCCTGGGGCAGGTCAACAGATATCTGCTAATCCAATTAACAGCCCTAGGTAGGTTTTGCAGAAAAGCAGCCACGGTCGGTGGCCGTTCGGCAAAGGCGGACGGGCACCGCCATCCTCCGACCAGGGATGAAAGCGGTTCCTAGGTCCGCCCTTGGCCCAGGGGTCGGCTCTCCTCGTCCTAGCCTGTCCGCCTCCTGCCTTCACGCACGACCTTGGGGCCTCACTTACGAGTCTCAGGGTCCCTCGGCCACCCTTTCTCCTCAGACCTCGCTGCCACCCCATCCCCCAACCTCCCTCAGCCACCTCCGCCTCCACAACCGCCGCAGTGCCACCCGCTCTGCGCATGCCCGGCGGCGTGGAGACGCGCGGCGTGCGGAGTACGAAGACCCCCGCGCGCAGGCGCAGGACCGTCCCGCACAGCATGGGGAGGTGCGTCGGGCGCGCTAGGTCTCTCTGGCCCCACCCACCTTCCCCAACCCACCCTGGGCGGGCGCGCACGCGCGCTAGGAGCGGAAGGGCGGGCGGGCACGCGCAAGAGGCCGGGCCGGCGACGGAAGCGGGAGAGGCTGTCTGTGTTGGGGGGAGGGGAGGTGACGAGTGCGCGCGCAGCGGGGGCGCGGGCGGCGTGGGGGGGGCGGCTGAGGCGGGCGCGCGCGCGAGGCTTACCCTCGCTCGGCGGCAGCGGCGGCGCCTTCTTTGTTTCGTGAGGAGAGACGAGACGCTCATTCTGCCCCCGGCCCCGCGCGGAGGGGTGGGGGCGGCGCCGGGAAGGCGACGGCGCCGTCGACTCCCGGTAAGGAACGCGGGTCTCGGGTTGAGCGCGGCGCGGGACTTGGGAGGACGGTTTGAATGGAGCCAGGGCGCCGAGGGTGGAGGGGGCCGCTGGCGCCCGGATTGGGGCCGGGGTACGGCGGCGCCCGAGGGTCAAGAAGCCTGGCCAGCACGGCGCGCGCGGTGAATGCCACAGTGTAGCGAGGCCGCGGCGGCTACAGTATCCGCGGGCCGGTTGGGTGGGGGCCCGGGCCAAGTGGAGGCCGCGCGCCCTCCGCGCGCGTTCTCGCCGGGGTCGCAGGACAAAGCTCGCAGCCCCGTCGGCGGGCCAGGGGCCCGGCCCCCATCGGGGCTCCAACAATAGCCAGGCGTCCTGGCTTTTCTGGCTACGTGTAACGGGTCCGACTCGAATGTTGCGTTTTGGCGAGGCTGCGGTCGGAGCTCAGTAGGAAAAAGCCCAGGTGTGTCCAGCGTCGTCTGGACACGAACATTAGCAGCCCCCTTGGGTTAGCTGACCTAAAATTTTATTATAAAAAATCACGTCGTTTTAGATTTTCAAGGAAAGGTAAATAACTCTCCTAATCCCTCGCAAGTAGTGACTTCAGAATGTTTGCCCTGAAGCGGGGGTCGGCAGCAAGTGGGGAAAGACTGGGGAAACTGTCGTTGAAAGCATTGTTTTAGTTTTGCATCCTTTTCCCTTCCTCTCAATTGATTTTCCAGTTTAAGGCTTTTATTTAAAACGTGGACCTTTCAGGAGAGGGTGTTTTGTGCCGGTCTTGAGGACAGTAGTCTTGATTTCCGGCCTCCCCCCCACACACAGTGAATCCTTGGGGAAAGTGGGGAATAAGCGTGAGAGCCACTTCCGAGGAATTTGAAACAAGTTTTCACTTTTAATTGACACACCGGATTCGAGTTTGATTCCTGGCGTTGCTTAGCTGTGTGACGTGAGGCAAATAGCTTAATCTCTCTGAACCTCTTAGTGTCCTCGTATGTGAAATGGGAATAATGCCACAAGTGGAGTTGGTGAAGGCCTGTAAAATGGTTCTTGGCTAGAGGGAAGCACTATTATTGTTGTTTAGTACAGTCTCTTCCTTTATTGTTCAATATTTGTTGAGTCCCTACTGGGTGTTTGATGGTTGGAGGTTGGATGCCCTGAGGAGCCTCTCCAGTCCTGTAGGGGAACAGGTGGTAAATGTGGGAACAACTCCCCTTGGCCTATCATGTGTGAGGAACACAGTGGATGGATGCTCAGGGGAGTGAGTTGATGGGAAACGGAGATCAGGGAGGTTACGTGGAAGAGGGGGCCTTTACTCACGATCAGGGAGGACGTCCAGGCTGTATTTGACCACCCGGGACCATTCATCGCTCCCCTCTGCTACACTCGCCCATCACCCTGAACCTTTCTTGTGTAGCAGTTACCCCAGTTTGTAATTATACATCTGTTCTTCTCCAAGGGCCCTCAGCTGTGTCTGCCTGATCTGGAGTGTACCCGGGGCCCAGCATGTAGTAGGCCCTCAGTGAACCTTTGTGGATGAATGAGCAGGGTATGCGGGAGGATTGAGTGAACATATGTGTGAAGTGCTTGGCACACGACTGAAGGGGGGTTGTAGGCAATAAATGTTAGTTGCTGTTTTTGTTTTTGTTTTTGTTTTGTTTTTGTTTGTTTTTGTTTTGTTTTGGTCTGTTTTTGTTTTTGTTTTTAAACTTTCCAGGCCATTGTTTTCCAAATGTCATTACCCCAACAATGAAGGTGTGTGTGGGGCAGTGGTTAATATGAGGTGGTGGTGTGGAGTGCTAGTTCTGGAATTAGACCTCCTGGATTCACAGCCAGATCTAAATCCTAGTTTGACCTCAAGCAAGACACTTACCAGTAGGTCCCCCTACTTGTGAAACAGGTATGACAGCGGTACCACCTCAAAGAATTGTTGTGAGGGTTGAAAAGGTAGTATGGGAAGTGGCTTAACACACTGCAGAGCCTGGCATGTAATGAGCCCTCAATTTATTGGCGTTAATATTGTTTATATATGTATGTATTTGTAAATTAACTGTTTAAAAAACTGAAAACATAAGTTAGAGTCATTCTGTATCCCAGAAATCCCAGGTTTGATGTGCCGGTTATATATATTTTTATAATTTTCTTTAAAATCAATGCATACACAATTATGAAAATAATAAACGTTCTTCTCCATGCCACTTAAAATCATTTTGTGTCCAGCACTTCAGGAGATGTTGATCTTGCAGGTTTTTGAGCTTGGGGTGGTGGTGGGATGACCTCATCAGAGCTTCTGTGTAGGGTAGTGCAGTGCAGTGGTCTCCAAACTTCCTGTCAGTGAAAAGCACTCCAACATAAACACGTATTTATTTATATACTTTTGCTACTCCTTGTGGACCCTCAAAACATTGGGAGATAATCCTAGACCACCTTCAGGTCCTAGCTGTTTATCAGATGTGGGAGAGTGGGAAGGATTAGTTGTGTTAGGTGAATATCCCATGAGAACATTCTGCAGGTGAAGAAACTGAGGTCCAGGGATATTTCACCAGAAGTTCTCGGGTCGAACATCCAAGTCTGACTCCTGGCTTGGCCACTTTCCCTCTTGGTGCCTCCAGGCAATGGGGGTGACAGTGCCTGGCACCTTGTAAGTCCTCAGACATGACAGCAGATTTTGGCCTGGGCTATCAGGGCTATCATGGCACAGAGGGCGTTCACATTCACCAGAGACAGAGCACAACGTGAATGGCGCCCCCTGCAGTTGTGCAAGAAGTAGCCCAGCCACGCATTCCCCGTTCGTATAGCGAACAAGCGTGCATTGAGTGCCTGCCACGAGCCGGGCACAGCTTGGGGCTGGGGGTTCAGCCGGGAACAGGCAGACAAGGACCTTGTTCTCCGCTCCTACCTGTCTCCTTATTTGCAAAGGGGGACAGTAATAGTACCGAACTTGTAGGATTGCTGCAAGGACTAAACAACAACAAAATGACAGATGACGAACGTTAAGTGTTTAGGACAATGCCTGACACACAAGACCAAACAGTTTGTAGCCGTTGTCATATATTATGATCTCTACAACATCCTAGCGGGTTGAGGTACAGAACAGATTTTTGCCCCATTTTAATCGTTCTGTATGTTTTCAAAGTGGTAGCAAAGCAATCAGCTCCTTCATTTTGTCCTTAATAATTTAAAAATTGTGTGCTTAAAAAAAAATTGTGTGCTTTGAAGTTTCACCATACAGCATTGGAAAGAGGGAAGTGTGTCTGGTGGCATGGGTTTTAAAAAATATCAAGTGGGCTTCCCTGGTGGCGCAGTGGTTGAGAGTCCGCCTGCGGATGCAGGGGACACGGGTTCGTGCCCCGGTCTGGGAAGATCCCACATGCCGCGGAGCAGCTGGGCCCGTGAGCCATGGCCGCTGAGCCTGTGCGTCTGGAGCCTGTGCACTGCAACGGAAGAGGCCACCACAGTGAGAGGCCCGCATACCAAAATAAATAAAAGCCCCCCCTCCCGCCCAAATCAAGTGTTTGTTTTGCATTTCATATATCTCCTCATAACTTGTAACGTTGATTGGAACACTGAAGAGAGAGGCTTTTTTTTTTTTTTTAATTAAAATCAAAAGAATACGCAACACCTACTATAAAAGGGAAGTAACAGTGGCGGGAATATTGGAGGGAGATGTCCAAGGGTGACTATATCAGAACTGAGTTGCTGTTGCTATCACCTTCCAGATGTCATCCCTAAGAAGTATTAAGCTCATTGATAGGTCGGTGCTATCTTGGAGTTTTCTGTTAGCTGCATGCAAATTTTTCAGGATATGGATTTGATGGGCATGAGAAATTTGCCTCCACTCATCTTCCTGTGTGGGAAAGGACCTTGTGGGAGGCACCAGGTGTAGCTGGGTCTCTTGGGAGATCATATTTCACAGGGCAGAGGGAAGGAAAGGGATGCATCCAGTTCCCTCAGGGAAGGGGCTTTCTTTAGAAAACAGGTAGCTGGCCCCTTCCTAGAAACCCAGACTGGTTTCCAGGGCTTCGTTTTGGGATTCTGTTACTTTGCTAAAGGGCCATGACTTTATTTTTGTGTGTGGACACTTGTAACTGGGAACGGTCTGAGTTTCGCTCAGTGTGAAGTTTACCACCTGCAGGAATGTGGTAAAGAGAATGGGCTTTCCCAACGACCTATACTGTATAGCACAGAGGACCGTACTCAGTATTTTGTAATAACGTATAAGGGAAAAGAATCTGAAAAAGAATATGTACACATATTAATGTGCTGTACACGACATTATATATCAACTATACTTCAATAAAATTAAAAAAAAAAAAGATGATGGGCTTTAAAATGGCCCCTTGGGGTGGTTTAAGTTCTCCTCTCACTGGCAGGTTGCGCCCTGCTGGTTCAGGAAGCAGGTGGCCGAGTGGCAGTTGCTGCCTCGCCTGTTACAGTGAGAGACTTGAGGGGGCAGGGTTTGATGTGCACCACCCCACCTTGCCCCGAAAGTCCCAGTAAAGTGGCACAGTGGGTGTCTTCTTGTCCTGATGGTGACACTGAAGCACAGGGGCCTCCTTCATGTGCCCTGGGAGCTGCTTCTGGCCCCGATGACCGCAGAGCACACATCGACCACAGCCTGGACCGCTAGCGCGCCAAGCACCCTCGTCAGCTTCCTCGGGACACCCGCTGGAGGCTCCTGCCTTTGGAGTGCTGCTCTTTGCTGCACTTTGTGCTCTTCCAGACTCTCCTCCTCCATCTTCTGATTCTCAGCCTGAATCAGTTACTCGGGCCTTAGAGTCCGACAGGCTTGAGGTAGGCAGGACTCTATTCCTTCGTGATTTTGGGCAAACAGCGTAACCTCTCTGAGCGTAAAACCCCCTGTTTCTCCCATAGTCCCCAGGTGGCACCTCAGTCGCCAGTAGTGAACCAAGGGGATGCAAGTTGGGGCTGAAATCCAGCCTGGCTGGGCTTCGCTAAACTAAGCCTGGTTCCAGGGCTGGTCGCCCCCAAAGAAGGGGCACCCTTTATACTTCAAATGGCATGTG